TACAAATCAAAGCCCATATAAACAAGGAAAAGGCTATTTTAAAGCATTCACAATCAATGCCACTTGTCAGCCTGCTAGAGACAGTGGCTGAAATGACTTGTACCCATCACATATTTATTTTTACAGATGGAGAATTATATATTTGACATGTTGGAAAGGTTGGGTACAAAAATCCTTTTTTTTATGTAAAACACAGAATGAGGAACAAAAAAGTGGCAGCTGCTTATTTCTTTCTCTATGACAGAATGTGACTTATTATGTGAAAAAGGGCAGAGTCGAAAATGGATCAGTTTATAAAAGCCATATTATAAAACAATGCCACAGAATATAATGTTAATTAGAATTAAATAAAACTTTCAGGTGTCTTGAAATATCAGTCATGTAATTTTGGTACCTCCTTGAGGAAACCAAGGTATCAAACGTGGTGGTGCTTTTATAACAAATACTAGAGCCCTGATGCATGAAATTCATGCAAGGGGTTTGGCCCTCACATCCACGGTGGCTTGCCTCAGCCCTCGCAGCCCTGGCTTCATCCGAAAGGTCGTCTGGAAGGACATCCAGAAGGTTGTTTGGCTCTCTGGTCTAATTATTATAGATTGCTGCTAAACCTGTTACCTTGAGCATCTATAGCCAGGGTGGGAATGTCCAGCCCCTGAAATCATTTGGTCTGGTCCTGCCAAGGCATTAGGGGTGAATTAATTAAATGTTTGACCAAATCAGACTAATTTTGAAGTTGATAATTTTTTATGGCCCGAGAATCCTATATAATAAAAGAGAAATGTGTAAATTGACTGTCTGTCTGCTATGCTCACCAGCCAATCAGGAGTGAGTATGCAAATTAACCCAACAAAGGTGGTGGATTAATTTGCATACACAGGCGCTGGGTGGAGAGCAGAGTGGGAGAGCCGGTGGCTTGGGGGAAATGTGGCTCCCTCGGTCACTCCCCCTAAGCTGCAGGGTGAAGTGCAGAGTCGAGAGCCGGCAGAGAATGGAGCAGCTTGGGGAACTTGGCTCCTCAAGCCGCCAGATGGAGAGCAGAGAGGGAGAGCTGGCTGCTTGGAGGACTCTGGCAGAGTGGGAGGCCATGGACGGAGACAGAGCAGGAAGGGAAAACCAAGAGCACGGGGAGCACCAGGAATTCTGGGAATAGTAGTTCTGGTGGCAGACGGATCTCCTAGACACTAGAGCAGCAGTTCTCAACCTGTGGGTCGCGACCCCTTTGGTGGTCGAACGACCCTTTCACAGGGGTCGCCTAAGGCCATCCTGCACATCAGATATTTACATTATGATTCATAACAGTAGCAACATTACAGTTATGAAATAGCAACAAAAATAATTTTATGGTTGGGTCACAACATGAGGAACTGTATTTAAAGGGCCAGAAGGTTGAGAACCACTGTACCTAGACACTAGAGCAAAGCGAACCTGGAACAAGTTACTGTTGCAGTGGGGGATGGAGGGAAAGCAAAGGTGAGAGGCATAAGTAAAATCAGAGTGTCTAGGAAAAATTAAAGGGAAGATATCCTAAAACTTCCAGGAAATCTCCACCAATGAAGCAAAGAAAAAAAAATGCCTCTATTATTCTGTGAGCAATAAACCAAACTAAGTTGCAGTCTCAGACAATTCGCTCATATGATTGCAAAGACAGACAGAAACTCCCGGATTGGAGAGGGCTCCCCTGAGGGCTCCCAGATTGGAGAGGGTGCAGGTCAGGCTGAGGGACCCCCAACTCCCCAGTGCACGAATATCGTGCACTGGGCATCTAGTAATATTATAACTATCCAAATGGCCCTTGGCAGATGAAAGGTTCCCCACCCCTCCTCTGTAGAAACAAAACAGTATTCTCTGTTGAAGTGCAGTGATAAAGGAGGGAATTGCCTCGTGATAGAGAAAAGAATGACTTTATACAGATTCCTGTCAGTGAACATGAAAATTCCTTGAGTGGATTATATTCAAGATACTTTGTAAAAACACCCCTTGGACTAAAATTTTGCCTTTGGATCAAACCCAGCTAAGTACTTGTGTTCTGAGATCAGGCTGAAGGCAACCACATTCATGGTTACTGCTTCTCCAGCGTCTTCTGCAGACCATTAGCCAGATTTCCTTTCCCACTCATTGTTACTGGTTTTATGTTTTTCCAATTTCTCTCTAAATTGAATCCACTCCTCAGATGCCCTGGCTAATTTATTTAAAAAAAATTTTTTTTCTGGTTATGCACCAAGTTGAGAATAGACTTCCCAGTATTTGCTATGGTCCCACAGATCCCACTGAGTTAATAAATATGCTGCTCCTCATTCCTTGCCTGACTTTTCTCCAGTAGGCATCAGAAATTAAACAAGATTGCCAATGGTAAGTCTGACAACTAATGAGAGTTAGGAGAGGAATACTGCTCTATAACTGAGTTTATTAACTACTAGTAATTTCAAAGAGCCAGTGATATCACGTCAGCAATATTTGTACATTTCTATGTATTCTAGATGAAAATTAGCCAAAATCATCCTATATAATAAAAGCCTAATATGCAAATTGTCCCCTTGACTGGGAATTCAACCAGGGGGCAGGGCCAGCCGCCCAACCGCCTGCAGCTCCTCCCCCCGGCAGGCCTGGCCAATGGGCCTGATCAGGATAGGCTGGCCAGACCCCACCCATGCACAAATTCATGCACCAGGCCTCTAGTATGTGTATAATAGGATGATGTCTACTTTTCTTTGAATTCAAACTGGGACTAAATGAAATTTAACCATTTAAAATTACATGATCTTGATTTAGATCAGTCTTTTCTAGATAAAGGCATTTTCAAGAGCTCATTTTTTTTTTTCAATCAATTCCTTTTTAAATGCATTTATAAATAATCTGAACACTAAAATTCAGACTTTACAGGGATTGTAGGAAATTTTAGGTGAAAGGCACCATTACAGGTGTGTTCTCTTAAATATACTCCCATAGATGCAGAGGCTCAGGTGCCAGACCCACACAGGTTTCTGGGAGCCTGGATTGGATCATTCTGCCTTTAAAGCATGGAATACAGAGTGGAAAGACATTGCTCAGAGATGGCGCTGAAAATCAAGTAGTCAAACTGAAAGAAAAAAATAAAATGCTGAGCAGACAAATACAAACTAGGTAGAAGGGAACTGAAGATAATAATAAGTTATTAATTTTAAAAACAAATAAGTAAGCATTACTATAGACTCAATACTTAAAGTCTCTTTATAGAATTCATGTTGAAGTAGCCATCCACACTATATGTGAAAACTTACAGTGGCAACTACTTACTATTTTCCAAGAATGTTGATTTTGTTTTGAAAGCTCTGAGTATTGGATAGTTTTTCCTTTTATTGGATACTTATAACTTCTATCTATTGGTTCTTGTATTTTTAAAAAATATCTTTATTGTTTAAAGTATTTCATAGGTCCTCCTTTTTACCCCATTAAACTCTACCAGCCCACTCTCATCCCCTCCTCCCCCAGACTCTCACATAAATTGGAGTATTTCTAGAAATTCATCTGGACCCAGTTGAATTTAGATAGCAGGATTATCTAGACATTTTAATGTAGGGTCTTAATAGCTAAGAAAAATAGGAATGTTATTTAACTAAAATTATAGACTGATATTCACATAATTGTTCTCAACCTTGAAATGTTTTGTAGCATTTTATACATTCTCTAATTAAATAAAATTCTTCTTAAGAGACAAAAGGTCTCTTAATATGATTATTATTGTCATTGTTGTTAGCAAAGAAATGGCACCAGACCTTGGTTCAACAACCTTGGTCCTTGAGTTTTGGCTAAGAAAGAATTCAGGGCCAAGACTCAAATACCAGCAAAAGTCACAGAGGTAGAAGAAGTGAGCTATGGAAGAAGTGAGCCAGCTGGGCTGTGTGGGCTCATGAAAAAAGTTACCGAGGAAAAAGAAGGGCCCTTGGAGCTTAGGAGGAAGAGAGTAAAGGTACTTGCTGGGAACAAGGGGGAAAGACACAGGTGTTCTCCAGAGAGAGCAAGACCCAGCACTGGTCCTCCTCCGAGGGTTTTTGTCCTTTCTCTAAAGGTGGGGATCTCAGGGGAGGTCCCAGAGGAGCATCTCAATGAAATATCAGTTTTTCAGGTGTATTTTCTCAGGGTCATGGTCTCTACTGATTGGTTGGCACTAGGGTAAGGGGTCATTAGTCTTTGCATGTGGCCCTGATGTCAGCCATGGTGTCACTTCCTCTGGTTTTGCTGCTTTTTTGGAACTGGAGCTAAAACACAACTGAGGCCTATATGTTCTCTCTAGTTTGTCTAAAACTCTGTCTCTGTGGTCAACAGACCAGAGGCTTTGTTCTTAAAATTACTTGATGCAGGTCAGAACCTCATTGTTCTGAGGATTCAGTGCTTAAGGGAGTAATCGCGCAAGGGCTTTTATGGGAATCCTATGAGGCTATTCTTTGGGCTCCTTGTTTCTCCTCTAATGGGTCTATCACATGATTAGCCACATGCTAGGGGAGGAAAGGTCAGGGAAGGGTCTGAATCACATGACCAGTGAGATGAGAGGTCAGGGTTCTGAACTGCCTGATGAGCAGTATGCCAGGGGAGGAAGGTCACCTGGGGGAGAGGTCTTATCTTTCCAATTTTGCTAGTTGCCAGATACCTAGGACTTTCTGCCCTGGTGGCCTTGTGTACCTGGCCTATTGTTCCTACTCCGCTTATGCCTATCTACTGCCTCCTACACTGTCAGCGTATTTAACGAGCACATTTTGAGACAGGCACATAGCCAGATCTGTTGAAGGGCAAGGCCCTTGTTTTCAGTGACCTTCAAAAGTATAGTCAGGACTGTGGCAGAAAAGAGTGGAAGGTTGTTTTATATTTAATGCTTATAAACATTTTGGAGCAGGACTATAAAATGTAAGGGAAACATTATGCTTCCTGAGAAAAATAAAAATGCCTTTCTCAAGCTCAAAGAACTCAGTATAAATTTGTTACTATTTTATTAAAGCCAAAGACAATAAAAAAGAAACACCATTAAACAATGAGAAGGAAAGAATTAAAAGGATTCCCATATTTTATAAGTTTATCCAGATACAAGTAACAGTTATGAATGACCAAATAGCATTCTTTCCTTGAAAATATGGGGCTTGAGGGAAATTGTCAAAAGGATGAACAAAAACCAGCAAGGCCAGCACGGGTGTGTTCTATCTGAGATAGAAGAGGGGTTCACTTTGTATTAGATTACAATTCTGATAATGGTTTTCACAGGCAAATACCAGGGATTTCTGTGGGGACATGCCCTGGGGACTTGAACAGCATTTGAATCAGAGAGAGGTCTGGCTTTCTGGCCCTACTCTAGTGTCTAAGCCTTTTATAAATGGCTCTGGGACAACAAGCTGTGGTAATCCTCCTTTTCCATGAGGAGCGGCTGCTGTTCTTCAGAGAGCTGCTTTCTCTTTCGACGATGACGACGGCACAACAGGCCAATGAGCCCTCCCAGCACAGCCGTGAGGACAGACCCCATTACCGCCGCCCCAGTGAGCCATGGCCAGATCTGCCGTGCTTGTTCTAAGTAGGGCATAATGTAGTCTTGAAAAAAGTCTGGATCTGAAATAGAAAGGCATTCAATGTTTTACAATTGCTGTGGTCATCACCACTATCACCATCACCACCACCACCACCACCACCATCATCATCATCCTTGCATAATACTTTGGAGTCAGATGTTTGAGTTTGAAAGTCAGCCCTGCTACTTATCAGCTGTAAGAACTTAGGGAGGTTATACCTAATATTCCTATACCTTAGTGCAGCGGTTCTCAACCTGCAGGTCGCGACCCCTTTGGTGGTCGAACAACCCTTTCACAGGGATCGCCTAAGACCATCCTGCATATCAGATATTTACATTATGATTCATAACAGTAGCAACATTACAGTTATAAAGTAGCAATGAAAATAATTTTATGGTTGGGTCACAACATGAGGAACTGTATTTAAAGGGCCAGAAGGTTGAGAACCACTGCTTTAGTGTCTTCATCAGGAAAATAGGAAAACAATAATATCACCTTGTTGGAATGTTTTAGAGTATATAGATAATATATGATCTGTAAATTACACAGTGCCTGGCCCCAAGACAGTTTACTAAAACTCGTTGAGCTATTTATTCTAGTATTTGTCTCCCAATTTCTAAATAACAGGCAAATATTGCTATTTCTTAATTATCAAGATTATCTCTGGAATTCCTCAAATGTAAATAATGAGTTTGGTTCTCTTACAACTTTTTTTAAAATTTTAAATTCTTTATTGTGAAGACATATCTACATATGCCTTCTTTTTCCCCATGGACCTCTCCCCACCCGCTCTCACCCCCCAGCACATGCCTTCCCCCCCTACTGTCTGTGTCCATTGGTTAGGCTTATATGCATGCATACAAGTCCTTTGATTGATCTCTTAGACCCACTTCCCACCCTCCTCTGCCTTCCCTCTGATGTTTGTCGGTCTGTTCGATGCTTCTCTTACAACTTCTTTTTTTGATCTTTTTAATATAACAAAATCATGATTTTTATTATTTTTAGTATTTAGATATTATTCATAAGTTGAACCAAGTATTAGGCTATGATTACATTTCCTGTCTTACATTATTATTCCTGGAAGGTAACAATTTATGGTATCTTTTTGTTTGATTTTGAAGTACCCATCACTACTCATCAAATAATCTAACATATTCTACATCCATTTTGTAATACAAAGGAAAGAAGAGTGCACATTGGGCTTCACCTTGCAGCAAATTTTGGCTATGTGACTCAAGTGTTGAGCAAAAGTAATATATGCAACTTGTGGGTAGTATCCTTAAAAAGAAATGGTATGCCTCTTTATTTTTGCTTATTTAGCTGGATTGTGGTTAGTGTCTTAGCGAGCCATCATGGATCACGTGGTCCAAGTTAAACCCTAGGTCTTGTGGAACTATAAGAAAGGAGTGGCTCTGGTTCCTGAAATTATAAAGTGGAAACTGGACAACATACCAAGACTGTTAGTTGAGCTATACATTAACTTACTTAAGCCTTGGATATTTGAAACTAGATCTGCTCCCTATCCTCACCTGTCCAACCTTGCTGATGCAGGAACTATAACTTTCCTTTATGACCCATTTCCTCCACGATAGGCAGTTCATATGCGGGGGACCATTGACTTAAGATGGGCCAATCATAATCATTACTCAGGATTCACTGTGCTGTGATTGAGAGTCCATGGCTCAGAAGCTGATAACAGACTCAACATGTGGAAGACAGGAAGGAAGAAGTCAGCACACTCCCAAAAGCAGAGACCAGAGCCAGAGAATAACAAGAGTCAGAGAATGAGAGAGGCCGTCTTTAGGGTGCTTAGTTCCCTGCTTCTCCCTTTCCCTCAGTGTCAGCCCAATTTCTGACTTTCCTTGAATTTTATAAACCAGTAAATTCCCTTTTCATCTACGTTCATTCCTGTTGAGTTTCTGCCTTTTGAATTTCAAAAAGTTCTAATTATTTTTAAAAGTTAATTATATGCCTACTACAATAAAGATAGAGAAGCATCTTCACGTATTCTGGAGTTACAATTATATGTAAGACTTACATAAAGTAGAAATGAGATCCACAAACCAAGGAGAAAAGGGATTTTTTGTTTAATAGACTAAACAAAAATTTGGCTAGCAACACAAAGGAAAATTTAAAATGAGAGTCTCACTGTTAACCATAAACTTAGTAAGGCTCAGGAAAATTAAAACAGGGATGGTGTCTTGTAATCAGGGGAATTTATTAAAAACTGATTGTATATTAAAGCCCAGTATTCATTCGCAGGAGATAAGAGTGCAGCTCCTGTGGTGTAAGTGGGGCTATAGGGCTAAACCCTGTCCACTGCTGCTAGCTGCCTTCTTCCCGGGCACTGTCCTTTTGCCCGCTGTCACTAAGATACCTCTAACACACCTTAGAACCCATTAAGCATAATTCGAACAATATGGAAATTTAGTGTTTCTTTTCATCAGGAAGGGGCAATCACTTGCAAATGGCACACATGAGGTAAATTATTTAAAAAGATTTATAAGTTGGAATTATAGTAATTTATATCTAAACCATGAAAGCAAACAAAGGTAAAAGAAAAAAAGAAATTTTAAAATGTGAAAACTTTTTTCATCAATTTTTAATATAGTTTAAAATTATTTTGAAAATGGGACTGCAAAGGCCTAGCATATGTTGCTATTAATCACTTTAATATATAGTGCATTTAAGATATCTGACAAAATGCAGAATAAATAGAGGTTACATAATAAATATGATTTCCTTTCATTTTAAAAGAATTTAACTAGAAATAAATGATACTGTTGAGCCCTTTTTGTGACTTGAGTCTCCTCTTCCTTTACTCCTCCAATGGGTTTGGTTGCCTTTCAGTAAAAAGTACCCATTTGGACATGAGGGAAGGAGCAATGAGGTGAAACATGTGTGTGAAAGACATGTGTGGGTTAAGGAGGACCCTTTCTTCCGTGGAGTAATAGAGAGATAATTGGTTTGGAATATAATATTTGCCACTTACTAGCTTTGTGACTTAAAACCAGTCACTTTATCCTTCTGGTCTCAATTTACTCACCTACCAAACAGAATAGAAATGACATAGCAACTTATTTTCCCTGCTGCCTCATATCTCTCCCTTTCACTCCGTAACAAAAGCAACTATGAGGTTCCTTCTGCGTCTGGCCCTGCTCTTGTTGTTGCTATCTCTGTGAATTACATCACCATTCGTTATTTTCACAGCCCAGAAAGCTTAAAGGCAACCCTCGTATCTCTTTCTTTCTCACCTCATATAAAAATCCTTTTTTCAAATTATGTAAGTTTTCTTTGCAAAATAATATCAAATTCTTTAGTGCTTTCTGCCTCCTTTCCTACCACCCCCACTGCAAGCCAAACTGCCTTCCTCTCTCCCGCAGACACTTATAATAGTGTTTTCGCCGGCCTCCCTAAATATGCTTTGCAACTGCTACAAACTTTCTATAAGCTGCAGGAACAGTGATCTTTTTTAAACTCTAATTTGACCATGGTCTGTTTACAGTTTATTAAGGCTTCCAGTATTCTAACATTATGGCCAAAATCCATAATCAAGAGAAGCCCTTTATCAAACAATTAATTCTTCCTCTCATACTGATATCCTCTGAAACGTCGCTTTGTTGATCTCTAGAAATGGGACATCTCTAAATGAGTCATTAGGTAAGTAGTTGTTTAAGGCCTTTCTCTTCCATTAGGATGTAAGTTCTGTACAGATAGAGGCTGTGTTATTTGATACTGTATCCACAGTATCTTAGACTACATCTTGTTCAAGGTAGTTATTAAACATATGTATGCAGAAAGGATAAATAAATCAATAAAACCACTTAGAAAATAACCTAGTGTAATAGAAGACTTGACACATGTAAAAATACATATCAAAAAATGACCTGGGTGTTAAGAGGGATGACATTTTTCTAACAAGCTTCACTTGTATTGGTTAAGAGATACCACCCTTTGTGATAAATATCACTTAAACTCAAACAAATTCATTGATTTCACTCCATACCAGATACCAGTTGGTACTTAGGAAAAGCTTTCAAGATATCAATCCTGATCTTGTAGGGCTCCCAGCCAAGGTAGAGAAGGGAAAGATTTATCCTCAGGAAAATAGCCATGTAACTCTAGTAAAGGAATGAATAAACATGGCTACATATATGTATAAATGATTTGATATCTGAGAGTTTGACATGAATAAATAGCATCAGAATTTAGCCAGAGAGAAGAGCATATTCAAAAACACGAGTCAATGAAAGAGTCTGGCATGTTCTAAAAGAGAAATCATAAAACCCTAAGTGATGAATCTTTGGAAAGCTGCCCTCATTATGTACTATGGGTATTTACACAAGAAAGGGAAAGCATTAAATGAGACTGCCCCTCTTTATGACCCACTCCCCTTACCACACCTCCACAGTTTGCAAAATCCCCTGTTCTCTTAAGGTTTTCAAAGATCTGATCTTCTCTGCCAGCCATTTCAGTGTGCCTTCCATTGGCTATGCTATTCAGATAAATCAAAATAGGTCAGTTGAACTCACATCTGTTTAGTGGTTCCCCAAAGGAGAGCAAAAGGATAAAATGCACATTCTCTCGTTGGCCCTAAATTGTGGTTCTGCTATGCCACATACTAGATGGACTAGGACAAGTTGTTTATATTCTTCAAGCCTCTGTTTTCTCACCTTGAAAAGGAAAAAGAAATAACAGTACCTACTTCGCAGGGTAGTTATGAATGTTAAAGGAAATGATGTACACAGCCTCCTAGAGGAGTTCTTGGAACATAAAAAAATACTATGTGTCAGCTACTGTGGAATAGCTAAATGTAGCTCTTCAGTGTAATCTCCCACCATTCATACTACTCAAATAAGGGAATTTAGCACTTGATATATATGATATCACTTTCCACCTTTATTTTTCCTGCTATCCTTTTGGTTTAGGGTATTCCCTGCCCCTTTTTATCTGCAACCTTCCTGCTGTTCCTTCAAGGCCTTGCCTTGTCTTTCTAGATGGAACTACTCAGAAGTCCTTGTTTTCTTCTCTGTAAAGGTTATGACCCTCTTACTACACTTAACACAGCCTACGTTTCACAGCCTACGTTGCACAATTGTCTGACTTTCACTTTGAATTTAGAGCTCTTTGGGGTCTGGAACTAGGTCAGTCATTATGTCACTAAAGTCTAGCACAAGAGTTGATAAAAGTCACTCATTTGTTCATTTTATTTATCCATTTATGTTTTCACAAATTATCAATGACTATAATAAAACGTCAATGCTTGTTGAATACCTCTTACCCACAAACCACATGCTGTTTTGCAGCTTTTGGGTGTTGACCTTCTTAGAGTGGAAGCAGTGTTGATATCACACTCCTCCACATACCGGTGTTTAATATTGGGAAAGTCACTTAAATTCTTTTCATATTAGTATTCTCACCTCTTTCTAGTGATAATGAGACGTACCTAATATAAGGTTGGTTAATAACGCATGTATGGAATCTGCATGTAGCAAGCTCTCGAGTGAGGGGAGACATTACTCTCTGTTCATTATCAAGAAGTTACTGATATAGATCTACTAAAAAAGGGTACTTAAAACCCAGATCTAATTACAATTCTAGAGTTTTATATCTCTATCTTAATCATAGCATAGCAGTTATCATAAGTTGTTATTATTATTTGGGTTTGAATAATAAAATGTCCAGATTTTTTCTTGGTAACCCAGCAGGGAGTTCCCAAAGATGATTTCAAAACTGCTACATGCACTAGGCTCCTTAATCAAAATATCTATATGAGATATTTTGATCCCAGTATTTCAGGTTAAAAACTGAGATTCATGGACTTGAAGTCACACCACAGTCAGCAGATAGTCATATTTCAAGCCCATTTTCCCCACTGATTTTAATTCTAGTCTCTTCCCATGGCCTTCATGTATGAAATGTATATTAAGCAGAATGAATATGAGTTGGAAAACCCTTGCAACTTGGTTCATGTACTAATAACTTGGTAATAAGTTTGGGGCTGTAATGCACTTTCCCAATTTAAAGGATTTGGTGATAACGTTGTATAAACATAGGTTTTGTATTCTCTCAGAAGAAATCGGTCACACTTTATTCAGCAATTTATGTGAAAGAAATTGAACTTTACCAGTTTTTTGTAGGTAGCTATAGTCATAGCCCAGGTCTCTGGATGAAATAAAGAAATCACCATTCCTGTAGAGGGGTATGAAAGGAACCATGTAGGAATCCCGGTTATGTCCAATGGGTGCGTTGGTTGCTGGATAAACTTCTTGAAGAGGACGGTACCTTCGGAGCCACTGTTCAAAAATACTGCAGAGGAAAGGATTATTCAGACTCAGAAACATATCATTTATAAAGAAAATATTTGGATTTCTTAAAGTAAAATAACAAGACATATCTTAAAATCCCAAGACTTGGAAAGATGCCAAATATATTTTTCATTTTTTGCAAGTATTCTGTAAAGCACCAGTTCATGCTGTCAGGCCCTGATGAAACTCATTCGTTTGAAAGAAATATTAGAGAAAACTTTGAAACAGGAATTTTTTTAGAAGATAAATGAAACTTACATGATAGGTTTAGATCCTTCAGAATGCTGCAGAACAAGGGTAATTATTGGTTGAGTGACAATTGAGTCATAGTTATAAATTAAATATGTTCCCATGTCAAAGAACGTTAGCCCAAAGAAAGAACGTACAAAACTAAATTGAAATTCATAATGTAATTATTAATTATTGGTCATTTTTCTGGTCATGGTTGGGAACTTTAATTATTTCAACCTTCTTGTTATGCTTGGTGATGTATATGCTGAATGAATCTTGGAGGAGAAAAAGCTCACCTCCCACGAGAGGCTAAAAATACTTACTTGGTTTCCCAACTCCTCCTAAGCTAGAGTTTGACCAATGATTAATATTCAGCCAATAAGACATACCCTTCCAAGACTTTGACACAACACATACTGACACAAAGAAGCAAGGACTATTGAAAACCAGTTGAGTAGTTGTCAGTGGCAATTGCAATAACAACATCCAGTTTTTAGGCTCAGCAAGGACAGAGGTACCAGGAAAGTACTTACTGTCCAGGGGTACCCTGTGTTCTATAGCATCATTTTGGCAAATGACTTGGCTGCTACCCTCCTCCCTGATTCCCACCTGTTTTTGAACCTGCTTCTCCATGATTTCCTGACCTATCCAATATCCGCTCAGCAAATTATTTCCCTATTTAAATCAGGGAAGTTAGTTTCTCTTGCATTCAATTAAACTCTGGAGCAATAGCTAAAATATTAAGAGACCACAAAGGACCAGTAAGAATGAAGTAGAAGCTAAAGCTCTCGCAGAATTTACGGCGGGTCATTAGTGTGACAAGGAGAATGCCTTTGGATTATCAGGCTATGTATGTAACACGGAAGGAAGAACACTAGATCTGGAGTCAGAGAACTCCCAGGAGTTCTAGCTCTGTGGTTTAAGAACTGTATGACTTTAAGCAAATCACTGAAACTCATGGAGACTTAACCTTCTCATCCTTAAAATCAAAGTAATAATATTTGTCCTGTCTGTTTCCAAAGGGATTATTCAATGGGATAGTTTTTATGAGAGTGAAAAATAAGTACAGCTATTTTTACTTAGTCTAAAGTAGGAGGTAAAAGGCTAGGACATGGTCACAGGGTGAAGTCTTTTAAGAAGGTGATGCTTTGAAATAGGAATTAAAAAAATTAAAAACACCCCCGCACACATTTTGAACAGTTTGAAAGACAATAAAGAAGAGAAGAAGGAGGCCAGACAGCAAGAGTGGTGATCATTTTTCTGTGATGGAAACACTTATATTTGCATAGGGAATCTGGACTTCAAATGCTAGGTCTGGTCAAAGTTGATTTTTAATTGTGAATTAACTGAGGTATCAGCAGGCCACAGATAGACACTGAAAATATCAGTTGCTCTCTAAATTGCTCAATTATTAAATATGTTGACTGAGTACCTACTGTATGTCAAGTTTTGGAGAAACATGAAACTGTAAAAACCTGAGTTTTGTTGTTTGTGACAAGGGGAAATTTGTAAAATTTCTTAACCTGTTTGACTTTCCTTTTCTGCATCTTCCAAATGAGAATAATATTTATGACATGAAGGTATTGTGAGGATTCATTAAAATAACCTAGGATACATGACTGAGTGCTTGACAAATGGTGAGCAGAAACTGTCATCATCCCAGCCCCCTTCTTTCTCCTCCTCATTACTAATGTTACCCTAGAGAACTTTCCAGTTGGTGAGAGACATGAGACATGCTGTAACAGAGATGCTGGAGCCATGCATATGTGAGCTGGATGTTTAAGAATGCTTATTATTTTGCTAGGCAGAAATGTGAAAGGAGAGGATTCAAGAAGATTAGTTGTTCTATGTGTGCCTCCATTTCCTCCAGTAATTTGAGGAAATGGAGGCACACATATTTGGGGGCTTAACAAATAAACCCCCAATTCTGTTCAGTTCCTAAAATGTTATGAATTAGTCTTTTTGTTTTAACTTCTATAGTGTTCTATTCACAAGCATTATTTATTCATTATACAGGGTTGGGCAAAAGTAGGTTTATAGTTGTGAGTATATGAAACACAGAGGTTAGTCTTGTATTATTATTTATTCAATATTGTATTATTTTTCATATGAATAGCTGTAAACCTATTTTCCCCACCCTATGTACAGTTCAAAAAATATAAACAAGCAAAAAGAGAACAACAAAAAATTACATTTAATTGCTCCATATTTTGTTATATCTAGTTTTAAAACTATGTATATATAACACATATATTTTAACAAAAATAATTATACTGTAGTTAATGTTTTAGAAGGCATTTTATTTTTACTAAACCGTGTTTAATCAATGTTTACTGGTATTCAATTGGTAATAAATCTATTTTTAATGGGAAGGAGGTTCTCTGATAATTAATCTTTCCCCTACCCCTATTAAACTGACTGATTTAGGAACAGCCCAATATACAATGAGTTAATAGACAAAGGCTCAAGGCAAAAATTGTGCCTTTTGTCAATTGAGAAAAATGGCTACTATAGTTCAATTTATAAATCTTGCTTCTGCCCAGAAATAAAAAATTCCTTACCTAGATAAGACAAGGACATCAATTCTTAGCACCAAAAGGTTTAATGGATGAAATCATTAATGTGCTCACCCACCTTATCAACCTTTAAAAATGAAGGTATTAATCTTGATTAAATTCTCCATTGGTGGTTCTCATCATCGGTTAATTTCATCGAACCATGTCTAAAAATGCCTCACTTTGGAATACTAATGTTTAACTTAGATAATCACACTGCCATTTGGGGGGGAGGGTGTGAATATCCTCTTACCAAGATTCATTTAAACTAGGGAGACCTCATTTAGTCTCCAGACTCTGGGAAAGTTTGAAGATATCTTAAATCAAGATTTGAAGAATGAGTATTTAGAGAAATGGTAGAGGTGTTCCAGAAGACTAGGATATATTTTGCAAAGGGTTTTTGATGAGAGGTACATAATAAGTTCAAGAAACTAAAAAATGACCATTATGTCGATGGAGAGTGAGGAGAGAATCATTCAAAATGAGGCTACAGAGAATAATAGGACCTGAATCATGAAAGGGAGTGGATGCCACATGAGAAATATTTGTAGTTTTTCCTAAGAGTACTAGGAAGCCACTGTTTATATCTGGGGTGGTGGGTATTAACATAAACAGATCATAATTTTTTTAAATATATTTTTATTGATTTCAGAGAGAAAGGGAGCGGGAGGTAGAAACATCAATGATGAAAGAGAATCATTGATCGGCTGCCTTCTGCACACCCCCCACTGGGGATTGAACCTGCAACTCAGGCATGTGCCCTTGACCAGAATCAAACCCGGGGCCCTTCTGTCCACAGGCCGACTCTCTATCCCTGAGCCAAACCAGATCATCATTTTTAAAAGATTACACAGTTTGCATTGTGGAGAAGGGGCTGATGGGCACTAATAGTTGATGTGCATGGAATGAGGAAACCAGCGAGACGCTATGTTTAGGCGAAGAGATGATGTGTGGCTATCCAAGCAGTACAGCTGGGGGAGGAGATGTGCCAGAAGACTCCATGTTTTCTGGCTTATGCTGTGAGAAACAATATTTTTATTTCCCAAGATGTAGATCGCTGGAGAAGTGTGGCATGAGGAAGGGATGTTAACATCCTGAGTGTTGATGGGCTGTGCTTGAAAATGCTTTTGGAACATCCAGTGGTGATGTCAGGTGGGAAGCTGGATGTTTGGGTCTGGATTTCAGAGCGAGATTTACTCTGGAAATATAAATGGAGACCCTATCAGCCTGTGGTAAATAAGGGAAGCTATGAGTGTAGGGAGACAATAAAAAGATGAGAGTATGGGGTTATTTTTCTCAGATGTCATCTTTCTGAAAAGCCAGGGCAGATGAAGTGATAATCACATTGTCTTTGAAAACTACACCTAGGGATGCCTCCAGAAATCCAGGCAAAATTCTAGTTACTAAAAACACACTGAGTGGATTCCTATCTTTTCACTTCTTTTCCAGTATTTGTTTTATCCCTATAGCCCTAGTTTTGAAACATTTATCTGTTGAACCAAACCTTAATGAATAAATGACAATAAATAACTTCATTTAAACTTAGAGAACTCCTTCAAATCCTCTCAATTTAAAGAAATCTACTCTTGTAGAATAGGGACAGAACTATATATTTTAACATAGTTATGAGAACCAAAATGAAATAAAGTGAAAAGTAGAATAATGCTTAAGGATAAAATGAAAGAATATTCATAAAGTGCTTGGCCTAGTTCCTGAAAGGTAATAATTTATGTTTTCTTTCCTCCCCAAACCCTCATTTTACAGAGTAAATAATTCTAATCTAAACATCACAGGTAGTTAGTAACACAACCAAGACTGGATTGAGTGGTCTCTTGCTAATTATAGGAAATGCACTTGCCTTCTGTGTGTTTAGGTAGGGTGATGGAATGTGTGTTCTGCAGTTGTGAGAATGCATGTGTTTCTATCAAGGACTGATGTGCAGATTATATCTCTCAAAGGCAACTTGGAAGGGGCTGTGCTTGACCTTCATCTTGAAATGCAAGCTCTTTGTGCATTGATTACACAGTAATTACCAAAAAATGTTTCTTTGCTCTAAGGACTCACAGGTCTCACAGTTTATACTCAGGGAACAGAGATGAATACAATACAAAAAGATCAGGAAAGGGTGTGCACTAGCCTAGCAAATACAACGAAAGAGAGAGTGGAAACAAAATAAACAAGTAGGCAGAAAAAGAGGAACAGAGAAAGACTAGAT